AAGAAAAGACTAAACTCAAATCTTTAAAGGAAAAGGCTAATCTCAACTCCCTAAAAGAAATTGTTAAACTCAACTCCCTAAAAGAAAAGGCTAAACTCAACTCCTTAAAAGAAAAGGCTAAACTCAACTCTTTAAAAGAAAGGGCTAAACTCACTTCTCTCAAAGAAAAAGCTAAACTCAACTATTTAAATGAAAGGCTAAACTCAACTCTCTAAAAGAAAATGCTAAATTCAACTCTTTAAAAGAAAAAAGGCTAGACTCAACTCTCTAAAAGAAAAGCTTGAACTCAAGTCCCTAGAAGAAAAGTCTTCGCTTGGAAAGAAAAGCTACACATTTTACTCTGAAGCAAACGTTACACTTAACGGTTAAAAATGAAAGTTTTTCACCAATATTCTTTTTGAATAAAACTCTTTAAGGCGAATACCTACACCTAACTCCCTAGAGTAAACGTTTGAACATAACTTTTCAGAGTAAAGGTTACATTTTGTTGTCATCATTATTGTCATCATCATTGCCAGAAGTGTTTCGACTTGTAGCCACACTGTATATCAGTGTGATTTCTCATTTTCAGCATAGTTGCTTGTTCCCGAGCATGACCATCTACTCAGGCGTATTTATCTTTCTTCAACACGCACGAAGCCAACGTATGTCAAACGGACCTTACTTACAAAGAAAGCCTGCACCTCACCTCATACAGTTTTGAAATCTGTACTTTCATCGATGCTGCTTACCAAACAAGAATAGGGAGCTCATTCTGCCTTGTTATTTAACCCATAGATGAGGGTAGAGTGAGATGGGTTCCTATTTTCCCTAAGGGTTTTTGTGCGAAAGTGAATATCAACTGGAATTCGGACTCAGTCATCGATTTCTCGCCCGGAGGGCTTAACATAACGCCACCTACACACAGCTAAAAGAAAGTTCAACTCATTAATTCTCTAAATAATCCAAGAACTTCGAATTATAAAAGAAAAAAAGATTCATAATTATCTAAAATAAAAGGCGACACTTGAATCTTCGCAAAAATAATAACGTCGCTCCGAGGATGCCAGCTTCAGTGTGTCTTTTAATGAAGCACATTTCTTTATTACTTAGGGTGGAGGCAATCAAATATTCGGGCAGAAAGAAATTTTTAATATGTTGTATTTTCAACCAATGATTAAACATTATTTTCATATAATTAACTATGTTACTGAATTTACTGCTTATAAACTTCAATCTTCCAGGAATCTCGTACATTCATAACTGCTCATAAACAGAGCATTTGCTTAAATACTTGTATCTATAAAATAACAACGTTAAACATAAAAAAAATGTCTTTAATAAATAAATTGTCGGACCTTGTCCATTTCTTAATATATGACGTCATTTGTTTACATTTGATACGCCAGAGCAGTTATGAATGTACGAGATTCATGGAAGATTGAAGTTTATAAGCAGTAAATATGACCTTGCCTACCGAACGCTTCTTTGTAGCCTAGAGGTAAGGCACGTCAGCGTATATGACGGTTCCGTATAGGATGCAGATTCGAATCCTGTCAAAGAACGAATCTTTTCTATGAAAATTTCTCGGACATTCAGGCCGGTAAATGTTATTTAATACTGTTTATCATAAACAGAGCATTTGCTTAAATACTTGTATCTATAAAATAACAACGTTAAACATAAAAAATGTCTTTAATAAATAAATTGTCGGACCTTGTCCATTTCTTAATATATAATTAACTATGCACAGATGCATAATAACTAAATATACATAGAAAACAGAAAGAATTTTGATTTTGAAATAAATCCCATTCATCCATTTTAATGGGTGAAAAAAGTATTCGTACACTACAAAAAAATAAAAAAAAAGAATACATATTCTTCATTTAATACTTTGTAGAATAGACATTATTCAATTCTATAGCAAACGACGTCTTCTTGTAGCTCCCAATTAATTTAAGTTGGTATTTTGTTTCATTCTTCTTCGCATATGGTCTTCAGATCCGGGATGTTTGTTGGAGCTCTCGATTGGATTTGAATTTTCAAATAATGCCACAGATTCTCATTAAGGCGCAATAGACCAATATAACAATAAGGTTGACTTTTCTAGAACTCTGGCCAAAAGAACTACAACTAGTGTATAGACTACTAAATATTGGTTTACGATACGCTCAACCAAAACATCTAGAAAAGGGAGAGAATTATTCTCCTGCATACTCCATCGTGAATACCAAGGATGGATGTAAAAAAATTCCAATGTTGGTGAAAAAGAGTTCCCTCGTTAATGTTATCAAACAGGGAAAAAGTGTTATCAACATAACGTAAACACAATGCACGGCTTCTGACATTTCTCAAACAGTAATATCCTACAAAATGTTGGCTTAAGAAGAAATTAAAGGGTTACCAATAGAGACCCCATCACTTTGGGCATATATAATGTCTTCGAAACTAAATTCTACCCCTTCCGTTGCTAAATATAGAAATTCGAAACATAAGGGTTCAGGAATGGAAACGGTACCCAAGTAACCTTTATGAAGATCATCTGCACAAATCTGTATTGTTTCTCGAAGAGAGATGTTTGTATACAGACTCACGATATGAAAAGAAACTAATATTTTATCACTAGTATTTATAGAATAATTTCTAATAAATCCCGAGGAAGTAAATGAGTCAGAAATACAAGAAGCTGCGAAATAATCAGAAACCGGTTTAAGTAACGCTGCCAAACAAATTGATCAATTTGCTTGGCAGAGTTGCTTAAACCGGAAAAGAAAAAGTTGCTTAAACCGAAAAAGAAAAAAAAGTTGCTTAAAGAGGACAACTTTCTTCGGTCACTCCAGTTATTTAGAGGATCGTGACTATCTATATTTTCTTGCTTTAAACTCACATTGGAGTATTTATATTTTTTCTTAAATTTACGTAATTTCGATGGTGAATTTATTTTTTAGGCGTAATCCAAATGTCCTTTGAATAATTTTTCATACCAATTCAGATGTAATAATTTTGCCAACGTTGGTCCCTGGTGAAGTGCTTGCCAAAATGTACCTAGGCTCAAAACAAAAATAAGTATGAACACTAAATTGTGTCTCTTTCAATATATATATATATATATATATATATATATATATATATATATATATATATATGTATACATATATATATATATATATATATATATATATATATATATATATATATATATATATATATATATATATATATATATATATATATATATATATATATATATATATATATATATATATATATATATATATATATATATATATATATACATATATATATATATTTATGTATATATATATATATATAGATATATATATATATATATATATATATATATATATATATATATATATATATATATATATATATATATATATATATATTTATATATATATATATATACATAGATATATATTTATATATACATATATATATGCATATGTATATATATATACGTATATATATATATATATATACGTACATCTATCTATCTATCTATCTATCTATCTATCTATCTTTCTATATATATATATATATATATAATGCATGTAAAATAGGCGGGGAAATTAGCTTGAGTTCCGTTAACGTAATATGGCTAAAAAAGAAAATTACGGTTTGTAGAACACTATTTCTCCTAGATACCTGATGAGACATCACGGTTGAAACCCGTGTTTTACAGAGGAGCGAAATATTTTCACCTTATATTATATATATATATATATATATATATATATATATATATATATATATATGCTCTTAAGGTGTGCTATATTTATAAGATAAAGTGCTCAATATCAGAGATAGAGCGTGCGTAAATATAAAAGTGAACTTTGAAGTCAACACTTGGAGGCGACAGGCTGTTTGATGCTAGATTCAATCGTCAAGACTGACGATTGCATTTAGCATGAAACAGCCTGTCGCCCTAAGTGTTGACTTCAATGTTCTCTTTATACACAAACACACACACTATATATATATATATATATATATATATATATATATATATATATATATATATATATATATATATTTATATATATATATATATATAATTACATTTCTACCAATTTGCGGGCTGCTCCCTTATACTCTTATATTCTTTTAGACTGACAGTCCCCAAATACTAGTTCAGCATGGATTTTAACCCATAGATAGGCGTAGAATTAATGGATTCATACCTTTCCCAAGGGCATTAATGCAAACGTTAAATTATCAGACCCGACTAGAATTTGAACTTAGCTCGCCAATTCCACTTCGGGTTTTAACTATTACGCTTCCTACACATCCCTCGTTGAAGATACTTGTAAATAAGCTTCTAATGTCACTGAACGAGAAACATAGCGGACATCTAATATTAATCAGTAAAGTTCATCATTTGACGCCAGTCTGGGCTGCCAGTTTCCTTACCCTGCCTTTTTCTGCTCCTTTTCTTTTTTGAATTCTCCCATTTTTGTTTCGCCGTTTGACTCCTCAAACGATATCCCCCTCAAATACGGATCAACCACTTTCTTTTTCTCTTGTTTGTTATACGAAGAAAAAGATCTTAGCAAAAAGGTCACGAGCTTGCTGGAAACTATGAGAGTCAATCCTATACTCAGGATTCCATTGAACAAATTTCTAAGAACTTATTTAATAGCGTTACTGGTTAAAGCCGGAAAAGCACAAACGTAACTGTGGGCAGATATCATGAAACATAGGCGAATATGTTCTCAATTCTCTGTTTGGTTCTCTGAAGCTAATAGGATTAGGGGCTATAGAATTTCTGTATACAAAATGGCTGCTCTATCGAATAGCTTATTTGCTAGTAAAGATCGTTGTCATTATATACAGACCGTGCAGCCCCTCAGTTGTATCTGACTCTTTGACTTTTGCTCTTTCACCATTCACAACGAGTCTGATGAGGGGTTGATATGTCTTTAGAACATTAGAAATACACAGACACGCATACATGCACACACATACGCACAATTTTAAAAGTGTACCCATATATATTACAAGAAAATGTTTCTCTTTACATTCATGTGTACATAAATTGCTATGAACAGATTGAACGAGATAGATAGATAGATAGATAGATAGATAGATAGATAGATAGATAGATAGATAGCTATGAATGGAATGAGATAGATAGATAGATAGATAGATAGATAGATAGATAGATAGATATGAAGGAATGAGATAGATAGATAGATAGATAGATAGATAGATAGATAGATATGAACGGAATGAGATAGATAGATAGATAGATAGATAGATAGATAGATAGATAGATATGAACGGAATGAGATAGATAGATAGATATATAGATAGATAGATAGATAGATAGATAGATAGATAGATATGAACGGAATGAGATAGATAGATAGATAGATAGATAGATAGATAGATAGATAGATAGATAGATAGATATGAACGGAATGAGATAGATAGATAGATAGATAGATAGATATGAACGGAATGAGATAGATAGATAGATATGAATGGAATGAGATAGAGAGACAGACAGATAGATATGAACGGAATGAGATAGGTAGATAGATAGATATATAGATAGATAGATAGATAGATATGAATGGAATGAGATAGAGAGAAAGACAGATAGATAGATAGATAGATAGATAGATAGATAGATAGATAGATAAGGAACAGTGGTAGATAATGAACAGATTGAGTTTGAGAGATGTAAGTGTTGATGTGGTCGTAGAAATTGTCTTACAGCCATGACTGATTTCTCGTGCTTGTGTAGCATGTTGCCAGACATAGGGTCTTCCGACATCCACCCTCTTGACCCAGGGCAGCATTACCTCCTCAAGGCACTATGTAGGCTTTGTGTTGAGTCTGAGGTCCTGTAGGAAGATGAATGGAGGCTTAACGTCGCCACCACTAGTGATCACTCCAAACACCTTCGTAATCACCATTACACCCATTCAACTGTTTCCGAATCATCTGCACTTTCATCGGATAGACACTAAAGAATGCCGTTTCCAAATTTCTGGTGGAGTTAATTGAGTCATGGTGCTCTTTTTCTCACAGACGGTCTAGAACTGGCGCTACTGTACTGTGTAGTCAGCAAAATCCCAAAACGTGAATACGCGAAATTAAAAATATAAAATGGCAAAAATTTACTCATTGCATCCCGCGTGTGTGTGTGTGTGTGTGTGTGTATGTATGTATGTTGGTGTGTTTGTGTATTTCAATTGCCATCTGATAAAGCAAGTTATGTTTTTAAAAAAATCACCGTTCAAAGTCATGCCTTGAACCGCGACCTGAGTCACAGATATGAAAATACTAAACTAATAAAGTGTGCATTGCAAGTCCAAATCGCATTTGAAACGCGATTTCTGATTAGTTCTTGTTTGCTCAAGGCAAATAATCCATCGATCATTAGGAAATATGACAAAACTAAAGTAACAGTATTAAATGGGCGGCAAAGGCAAAACGGGTATTGATAAAACTGTTACAATTATCATAGATCTTTACACGGTTTTAAACATCGACACTTCTGTAGGCAAAGCTGTGACGGCGAACGGCCACATCACGTTGAAAACACCTGTTCCTGTACAGCAACGTCAAACTTGTACAGTAACTAGGTGGATGACCACTAGGAAATACCAGGTTCTGAAAGCTTCCACGTGCGGCTGGTGTAATGGATGATAGCGGATTAATTAATTAACCGAATTCTTAATCGGAGATCCGTGTTCCAATTCCCGTCGGCTTCGTTATATTTATTTACGCGCAAATACCCTTGCGAAATGTATAGATCCACCTCTTCTCCACCAGCTAAAGGTTAATTATTAAGACTTATATCCCTAAATCACGATTATCTAAAAAATGAAATTCTTACAATCTAAAAATATTTTCTAGTTTTAAATAAGCTACAAGATCAGCCTAGAGTTTTATAATAAAAGAAAATGGTAACATTAATTATTGGTTGGTTGATTTTAGTTAGCGGCATATCAACACCTCTATGGGTCATTTAATGCCGAAATCTAAATATTTTCTACATAATCTTATACTTTCATTGTAAAAGGTATATTTTTTTAAATTTAAAGTTTGCAGGTCATAAAATGTATTGCTGGTAATTTTTCTATAAAAATGTATTTTTAGTCATCTGCTATAAAAATATACTACTGATTTTTGTTTGGGCGTTCACTATTTGCACATACATGGGCCCCCTAACAGGTGCTACCACCCCGGATGAGGGTGAACCTGAGAAGAACAGCAATTAAGAGTAATACAGTGTAACCCGGATGTAAAGAGACCCGGATATAAGAGAAACCCGGATATAAGAGAGATTTTCTCTGGTCCCAAATTAGAGCCTGTGTTAATGTATATAAAATAGACCAAACCCGGATATAAGAGAAACCCGGATATAAGAGACTTCTTCTCCGATCCCGACAACTCTCTTATATCCGGGTGATACTGTAGTAATAACAATTGAAAATACTTCATGAAACAAATTAAAACAATCAAATCCCTTTCTTATAACTATGACCCGTCTAATACACAGAAGGGGCTGAGGATGATAATCTTATCTTGTATCATTTATTAATCTTTTTTTTTTCTGGAGAAGGCTGCAGCATCGTACGACCGAAACATTGGGAAAAGAACAAGAGCAACGAAAACAGTGAATTAATGACGCGCCCCAAACAATTTTGCGGCATTATTTTTAATTTTATGAATAGAATTATTATTTTCAATATCATTTTCCGATTTTTTTTTGTCAAAAAAAGAAGAAAATATCAAAACGATTAAATTAATCAAGAAATTTGTAGAATTACATGTTTATCACAATGTTCTGGGATATGCAAATAGAGTAACGGATATCGGGCCGAAATTATGTTGGAAAAATTCAAATTCCGGTTTTATTTGTGGTGTCCCATTTCCTGCAACTGCATTTGAGGCAATATATATACAAATATATATATATATATATATGTGTGTGTGAAAAGTGTGTGTGTGTGTGAAAAGTGTGTGTATATAAATACAAATATATATATATATATATATATATATATATATATAGTTATTTATATATTATATGCGCGGTACTTATTAGAAAGCGCTCAATATCAGAGATAGAGCTAACATATTTGGTTGGATAGATGTGAGTTTGTGACCCTGGCTTTCATGCTTTTAGCGATCGTCAGACAAACTGATAACTTTTTTAAAAATAAACCAAAAATTTTTAAAAAATTAATTAGTTTGTCTGACGATAAAACGTGAAACCAGGGTCAAACTCACATCTAAAATAAATATATATATATATATATATATATATATATATATATATATATATATATATATATATATATATATATATATATATATATAAACCCCAAGCAGTGAGTTAAAGAATCGGTTATACCTGACATCTTTAGCCTTGGGTGGTAACCAGTCTAAGAAAAGTAAAGCTTTAAATTCCACACTGTACCGGAAGTGATGTACATCCGCTTCATTATCTTTCCGAGATAATAAAAGCCATCTGCGGAGAGCCATGATCACATGTATCCTGAAGAGACATGGTATTAAAAAATAATAATAGAGAGTCCGTAGTGTTCGCTAATTCCCCTTGGAAAGGCATGGATTCCTTTATTTTCCTGTTAGTAATTGGTGAAATTGTTAGAAAGACCGGGGCACACTGGCCTTGAATTGCAGTCAGTCATTCAAACGAAAAGTCTCATGCCTTTCTTTCATTTCTACTTTATAGCTCTTTCCATTGTAAAATGTTCTAACAAGTTATATTCCTTAGCCTTCATCAGTCGTATTCACATTCCTTAGTTTCACCTGACGTATTCACTTTCCTTAGTTTTACCAGCTGTATTCATATTCCTTAGTTTCACTAGTCGTATTCACATTCCTTAGTTTCACCAATCGCATTCACATTCCTTTGTTTCACCATGTCAAAATTCACATTCCTTAGTTTCACAAGTCCTATTCACATTCCTTAGTTTCACAAGTATTCACATTCTTTAGTTTCACCAGTCGTATTCACATTTCTTTGTATCACCAGTCGACTTCACATTTCTTAGTTTCACCATGTCGTATTCACAGAGGTGATACATTTTCATTCCTTTCGTTTTCTTCTTTCCAAGAGATGCTACATTATGGAGCAAACACACAAGATCATTCTTTCCCGAGCACTAAAGTCTTAATCTCTTGATCTAGGATCAACCCTTACTTATTCTACATATCCTGATTATAAGTATTTACTCCCACGCCAGCTTACGTACGTGAAACAACCAAATTTAATAGACATCTAGTTTGAGTGGCTGTTGGGCCTTTTACTGGGTGAACATTTAGTGAAAAAAAAACAAAAAACAAACAAAAAAAAACGTGGACACCGCAATGCGAATCTAGTTCACTATTTTTCCCAAGAATTCATGAAAATTCACAGACAACAAATTCAATGTATCCACCGACACCCATGACCAATTGAGACGACGTAAAAATAATGCATAAGTTTCAAATTATCTCTAGTTTTTATCTTTATGTTTAGACTGATGAGCGCCTTGAGCTTCGAGGAAGTCTTTTCAGTAACATTTTGACAATAAAATAGCGAGAAAATAACCCTGAACAACTCGTAGATTAGTGATAATAATCTCATCTCTGAATTGCAAGCAATATTAATGTATTTCTGTGTTTAGAAAGACATATGACGGCGTTCATATGCATACATACGGCTAGGTGTCGGCTTAAATACAGGCAATGCCTATTGATATAAGGGAAGATGGGGGAATTCAAACTTAATTAATACTTATGTAACGGCGTACATAAAAACAAAATGAAAGTCTAATCGATATTGTATTTGATCACAGCTTGTTACAACTCTCTGTTGTCGCCATTTTCTTGTATGCAGACGACAAATCAATGAAGCATTAACATTAAAGAGAGTTTTTTTTTTCAAGTGTGAGCAAATCTGTTTGTAGAGGTCTGAAGCGCGGGAAGATGTCGATTGGCGGGAAAGTGGGGATGACAATGTCCATTGGGCAAGCAACACAGAGATGGATTTCATGTAGAAAAAAAAAACTAAGGATCGAAACGGAGAAAAAAATAAGGATGAAAAGGAGATAACGAAAAGGAAAAGAAAAAAGACAAATAAAAAGACAGTGAAGGGAGAAAAAATTGTTTAGAGAGAAAAAACTATAATAAAAACGAGAAAAAGAAAGAAAGTGGTAGAGGAAGAGAGAAAGGAAAAAAGAGGAAATGAGTGAGCGAAAAAGAGAAGGAAATTGGTATAAGAACAAAAGCTTTAAAAAGGAAGTGAGAGAAAGAGCGTGTGATAGAAAGAGAGAGAAAAAGAATATAGAGAGAAACAGAGAGAGAGAGAGAGAGTGAGAGACAGAGAGAAAGTGAGAGAGTGAAAGAGAAAAGTATCTTTTTATACAAAAAATAAAATCTATAACTTCCAGTAATTAGATTTATAATCAATGAGCCGAGCAATTATTTGGATAATAGAAATTCTAATTGTGTATATGTATGTAACTAAAGCCTGTTATCGATTTTAAGATTCTGATAGTGTGACATAAGCAAAAAAAAAAAAAAAAAAAAAACATCGTCAGTCGACTTACTTTCAAGTAATTTCAAAAGCTCAAACTATATTTAGAAACCTTAATAACAAAACCGGCGCTGACAGTATCCTATGTTGTAGTTCAAAGTTTATTTATTAGAAATCTCAGACAAAACCCTTTAGAAATACGTGTCTAAATTTCTGGGGTAGCGGATAAAGTGTTGGTTTGTGAAATTTGTGACATAGTGATTGTGAGTTCAATCCGTTGGTTATTGTGTACTTGAAGACGGTGGAAACTAGTAGGCAATAAATGAGCAGTATTAAATAAAAATTTAAAAAACAAACTAGACGGTATACAGAGACATGAGCCGTGGAACTAGAACAGTCTACTCAATCCCGTAGATTAAATAAAGAGTTCTGTTCAGAATTCCCTGTAGGTGACCCAGATCTGTATACACCTGAAGAAAACCGGAGAGCATAACGGCCAAAACGTTGTGATAGCAACAACAAAGATAAGGACAATAGTCCGAATTTAAATAGTGTACATTTAGAAATATAAATAAACTTGCTCGGAGTTGCATATATGTGAACCCCCCCCCGCGGCCCACTTTCAGTACTTCACCGACAGAGCTAATCACCGCACATTTTATCTTTATTCCCGTTGGCATCGCTTTGCACAAAAAAACTGGGAAAGGGTCGGTGTCTAGTCATTGTTTATTTAGAGATTCGTTTGACATTGTCTGGCTGCTTAGGTATGGAGATACTTGGGATAAAGTCTTCTACTTCTGTCACGACAGACTAACAGACCAGCTCTTCCTTTCGGCTAGCGAGATCTCCTATCACATATCTGCCCATCTGTACATCAAAATGCTCAGCTCGCAATTCGTCCACATGTGGCGGGAAGCGCTCTAATGGTCAGTCCGGATATCTCTGCCCATTCTAAATCTGACTCGACTGATATAAGCCTGCTAACGCAACTTCCTTAACCCCAGCCACGTTTTTATTTATTTAACTTCTGTATTTCATCTTGACCAGCATAATTTCTACGCACAGCTGATTATGACATTAGGTTAAATAAAGAAAATAGCTACATCAATGTTCAATAGTCTTACTTATTCCACAGTCTTTACACAAGGAAAACAATTATGCGTGTTTTGTGTGTCAAACACTATAAAATATTAATCATCTGAATGAGTAGTTTATTATGCAATACTCCATGGCTAAGCGCCTATTCCTGGAAATATTCAATCTGAGGCGCTGAGATTTTCGATATGACTTAATAAGTCTATGAATACGAAATTACACTCTTTAAAAAATAATGATTGGTTTACAATATTTTTTATCATAAAGAAAAGGCAAACATATTTACCAGTGTTAACTGGTTTGTATTTACACAGATTTTAAATATTCATGAAGCCAAAGTTACCTTCATAAATAAGAATAATGAATTCACAGAATGTCGAAGGAGATTTTTTTTTCATTCTTTTAATAATTGGTTTTCGATGAATGTAGAAAAAGGAAACAGCCGGAACAAAAATTTGTAAATAGAAAAATAAACAGAAATCCTAATAAATAGATAAAGTCTTCAGAAGAATCTGCGCAGAAGACAGCACTGCAAAATATTCTCTTTTTGATTCATTGGCTGATTTCTTCAGTTGAATAAGAAATCAATAATATTATATTAACAATTTAATGCTTATAGAAGATAGCTTAGGACACAATTCCAACTGTTGGCATGAAGAAAACGCTGAATAGAAAGAGATATGATTTTAGGATATTTTGGTGTGAAAAAATAAATTTCTAATGAAACTTGTATACGCACATCTATCTGAAAACAAAACTAAAAAGTGGTATTGACTCAAACTAGAACTTTTATTCAAATCTTAATTATTTTGAGTTTCAGATGACCTGGCGGCGACGATTATTCCCTTTTGAAGAAAGCCCCAAGCAAGACATATCTTTATTTATCTATCTAATTCTGTTTAAATCTATCTATCTATCTATATATATATATATATACTGATAGATATGAATATATTGAGATAGCCATCTCTATATTTATCTATCTAATTCTGTCACAAATCTATCTATCTATCTATCTATCTATCTATCTATCTATCTATCTATCTATCTATCTATCTATTTAATACTGTTCATTCATCTATCTATCTATCTATCTATCTATCTATCTATATATGTGTGTATATATATATATATATATATATATATATATATATATATATATATATATATATATATATATATACTGATAGATATGAAAATATTGAGATAGCAATCTCTATATTTATCTAATTCTGTTCAAATCTATCTACTGTCTCTGTCTGTCTCTCTCTCTCTCTCTCTATATATATATATATATATATATATACTGATAGATATGAATATATTGAGATAGCCATCTCTATATTTGTCTATCTAATTCTGTCACAAATCTATCTATCTTTTTATCTCTCTCTCTCTCACACACACACACACACACACACACACACACACACACACATATATATATATATATATATATATATATATACACACACACATATACTGATAGACAGCAATATATTGAGATAGATACATACAACGATTATATTTTACTAGGGGTTATTGAGTAGAAATAAAAGCATATCCGAATGTAGTTTTGTGGTAATTTTATTGTTTTCTTTGCTAAGTCTTTTTTCTCATTATTTATTATTGATTACTTTACTATTTGCTATTGATTATTTTTGTTACGTTTATTTGTGTTTTGGTACATTCGTAGTTTGTTAATTTCTTTAATATTTACTTAATTTTTTTTACTAATATATTGATTTGTATTATTTTGTTTGACTCATTTATTTCTATTTTATTTTATTTTTTTATTTTTGATTTAACGGAATGAATATTTGTTTTCGTGCCAGAATTCTTATTTAGTAATTTGTGATGGTCTGGAAGGTAATTACATATTTATATTTATATCCGCTCCATCCCTGATACATAACTTTAACCCATAAAAATAGCATACCCTAAAAATATATTTTGATCATATATATATATATATATCCTCATACTTACACTTTCTCAAATTCTCTCTGTTAAGGTTTAATCTCCCTCCTCCTCATACTTACATTTTCTCTAAATTCTGTTTTTATTTCCGGAGTTGTTTTTTTTCTGTTTTCTTTTTTGAATTTTAGGTCTGATGAATTGGATCGTATTTACGATTCCAATGGAATAAATTATGACCATGGAATATTAGTGTTTAAGCCTTTTTTACTATTTTACTATATATATATATATATATATATATATATATATATATATATATATATATATGCTTTGGACTTGTATGAGTTTCTCATTCTTGATTTGATCTTCAAATCAATTTCTGTTTTATTTTTTATTTGTACGCACAGTCGTCGGAATCAGCGCCGATTTATTCTAAGCTTTATGTGTCGGGAGTTAATCATATGTTGTTGGGGATATTTGCTTTCGTCTGACAAAGGAATTTAAGGAAAGCTATTGTTTAAACATTGTCTAAATATCTTCTCAATTAAATTGAACATTCAGTATTGGGAGATGAAGATCAACTTCGATGTTGAAAAACGGTTAAAATAAAGAAAAACATTTAAAAAGAAGATCTGAGAACAATTGTATTTGGGTTGAGAGAATTGAAACCTATATCTCTAAGAGCTTAAAGTAAACGTTTAAAAATAGATAAAAAAAACGATATACGTACTGTATCAAGAAATTATCAGACAAATGATGAAAAAAAAAAAAAGAAAAACGTATTTATATTGCATTTGAACCTGAATACCTTCCGAGGTTTACTTACAATATCATGTTGAAATACCGGTTCTCGTACGATCACCGACGGTATCAAACGTTGAGGCTGATCAGTACCTACATGGGTGACTGATTGGGAATACCGGGTGTTGTAAGCTTAGATGTACGCATGGTGTAATGGGCTAAAATGCATAGAACTTACGCTAACATCTAGCGATCTTAACTGTAAAATGATGATATTTTACCGCACACCTAGTACTGCGCTCAAATACATAAACTTTAGGTACTATAGAGGAAAGTTCATCAGAGCAAATAGCATGAAAATATTTGTAGAAAAAGGGCAAGGAAGTGGATGTGAAAATGATGTCGAGATTCAAGGTCAGGATCAATAATAATGCGGATTTTCATTCGATTTTATCAAGAATTTCTGAAGATATACCTGGCGACGTGAGGCAGCAATAATAGAATTCAGTTCAATATCAATGCTACTTATTTATTGATTTATTCTCACAAAGATTGTGTCAAAAATGAATCAGGTGATTGATAAAATTTAATAAATCTCGTTAAAGGAATTATACTGATGAAATAACAAATATAATTATTTCACACCAAAATGTTTTCTCAGTGATGTCTATTCTGGGGTCATGATATCAAACATCTTCTTCCATGGGCCAAGCAGAGATCGATCATTTTCCGACTAG